TTTTTCTTAGTTTTTTTCTTTAACAAACATAAGACTGTATATGCAGCGGCATATCTAGTTTGTTGGGCAGACATTTTCAATAATAAATGTTCCTCCTCACGAATGCGATGAAATCCTTTTGTACAGACAGAGCAAGAGTTACAATATAAGTGTAAACATACAAGACATATTTTTCGCAAAAATTTTCTCTCGAGACCAGTTGCTGAAATAATTTGCGAGAAAAAAATGCCGTAGTGTAAACAGTCGGGCAAGTTTATGTAGCAATAAATGTCGCAATATTATTGATAATGTACACGAACCTTTACACACAGAAATAGACAGAAAATGATATTCTTCGTTTTCCGTATAAGAATTTATTATAGTGAATGAAACGATTTATTTCAATTTTTAAGCCTTGTGGTAGCACCAGACGATATTCAGGACGTCAGGAATGCGTCATGAGGCAGTGCTAATAGGTTCATCGGGGAACTGGCTGAAATAGGCATGTAGTGCCCTTATAACGAATGAGAAGTCTTTGTTCCACATCCCGATGACTTGGAGGACTTGTCACACAAGCCAATCTGAATTTCAAGTTGACAAATGATGACAGCGAAATATTTGCATCAATGCCAGGCCTAAGTTGACCCCTCATGACACAGACGACGATGTTTCCATTTTTGTTCACCGAGTGCGCGGCGATTGATTTTAGTTTCCCCCACTATGAACCTCGCTCTTGGTGAATACTTATAGTACACATAATGCACACGAATGATGCATATACCATACACGTGATTAAAAAAAACAGTGCCAGTATTTCTACAGCAGATACTGCAACAAAAAATAACATACGCTCCCCTATGAATTATAAAACCAAAAGACATATTTCCGGTTTCATTCGCTGTCACCACGTGCATCAAATATACGATGTCAGAAAAGAATTTGCTGTTTCCCCAAAATGTAGTGGTAGTTTTTTAACCCTTTCGCGTCGGGAGCCGGTTATATTCGAAAAACAAAGTAGTGTCTTGTATACGGGAAACGTATATTTACGTAGCGACAGAGGCCCCGGTAAACTTCTGGAAACGTGTTGATCAGCATATGTCGGTATTTGATGGTACCAAATACTATGCATACAAGCGAAAATTTTCGCTGGTGGGGGAACATGCATGCAGAGAATTGTCGCACAGGTGGCACCATCAAGACAGGTTGCAGCACGTTTATTTGACCATTATTCTTCGAAGGCGAGTACGGATGCTTTAGTTATTTTACGTTATATTAATCTTCAAAATGTCTCATAGTGACTTAACAAATCAATAGTTGTTAGAAATATTAGAGACTAGCGATTCTGAGGGCGATTTTAATGGCGGCGCCGAGGAATGGGAAAATATCTTATCAAGAAGTTCTAAACGATTGTTGAACAAACTAATACAGGGTGGGAGGTCTTATATGTAACATTTTTTCCTCGAGGGCTAATAAAAAATCCTCAATTTGGTATGTGAATTTACCAGTATTGGCCACATTCAAAAGTCTTTACTTAAAATTAACGTGCACCAGTGGCGGAGATACAGGGGATTAGTGGCATTATTTTTCCAAATAAAAATAGTACGCCACTGTTCTTTTCAAAACGCGCAATTTTTCGAATCTTACCTTTAATTTACTACAAATAATTACTCTTGTGTTTTTTCCTATAGTTCACTGTTTTCGTAAAAATGAAAGTAATACAAATTAGATCATTCATCAAGAACCGAGATACCATTAGTTTCAAAATAAAATATGAGGCCTTGGTACCAACTTGACGTTTCTTGGGAGATAGTCTGTCAAAGTTATGTGTTGTACGGTTGTTATCGTTACTACTACCATTATTTTTTTTTTGTTAAAGTCATGTCAAAAGTTTTTTGCCATTTTGTATTTTTGAATAACATTTTTTTATGAAAATGTCTTTGTAAGAAATAAAGTTTTTTTTAAAATTATCGCTATCTCATAGAATGCCGATTTGGATCGGGAAATGGATAAATCAGCAAGCGGCGTTTCCCTCGTAAGAACAGACAGATTTCATAACAAGATCCTCCGTTGCGAAAGGATTAATAACGTGAGTACGTTATACAATTTTTAATTTGTTCGGATTTATTGATATATGGTTGTAACACCTAGCTATGTTATATGTTCCGTCGTTAGCAACAAACCCAATGTGTCCGGTCTTTTGGTTTTATAATTGTAACAAGTGTTCTCATCCACGCTTTCGTTATAAAACACCATTTAGCTGCAACCTCACCGACGACTCCTGAACATAATTTGGCGAAAGCTCGAGATTATTGTCAAAAGAGTTTATTAAGCTGTAAGTTTTGCCAATTCCCAATAAACAATTTAATTGTATTATATACTGTGCCACCAGCTTATAATGGACTCGGCGATACTGTGACAAATAGTTTATTATAGGCGGATGACCATCTTGATAGAAACACTTTTTTTAATGAAAAATGCAGCAGAAATAACATATTAAAGCTTAAAATGTGTTCGTTTACCATGATTTACATAAATAAAGATACATCAAAAAATTTATACGTAATTTTGAAATTTGCATTTTTTCAGAATCTGATACACATATTACAGGCATACGTACTGTGTAGGTATGTGTAAAAACCGTAAATTATTTGGTAGAAAAGCTAGTAATTTTCATCTGAACAGATTGTTTTTTTTTGTATAATTATTTAGACCAGCAAGTTGAATTTTATTTAATTTGGTAAATGTGGCTGTAATGTCTTGTTCTTGCTGAAAATAACGTTGCAACTTTTTCAGCAGTCTAATGCCTCCTTAGTTGTCACTGGAAGCTCTTCTTCATCGTTGCTTTCTAGTTCGTTTCCTGTTCGTTATCAATGGATCCTTCATTAACCAAATTAGTCATCAACATATGTTTCCGATACATTTGTTTAAGATTCCAAATGACACCCTGGTCCATTGGTTGCAGAACTGATGTCACACTGGGTGGAAAAAGTTGAAGGTTGATGTTATTAAGTGAAATATTTGGATGACCGGGGCAGTTATCGACCAAGAGCAAAATTTTGCGATTTTTCTTGACAAGTTCAGCGTCCCACTTTTGTAAATATTCTTCAAAAAATGATGAAGTCATCGAAGCTTTATTATTTCCAACATAATCGACGGGAATTGTTTTAACATTTTTGAAACACCTGGGGCCCTTAAATTTCCCTGCAATAAAAAAAGGTCATAAATTCTTTGCAGCACTGCCATTGAATATCAAAAAAATTAGAACATGCATTTTTATTCATTCACTTACCTATTATCAATAGTTTCCGTTTTTCAGTACCTCCATTGTAAGTTTCACATTTTAATTTAAAAGTTTTATCTGGTAGCTTTCTATAAAATATCCCGGTTTCATCTGCATTGAATATGTTATCATCTGAATAATCACTGGATATAGCGGGCCAAACTTGAGAAATGTTATGTCTCCTCTTAAACCTGTCTAGACAACCGGAACTACATTTGAAGTAATCTCCAATCAATTTACCAAATTCTTCAGCCTTTATTTGTAGCATAGGTCCACTTATTGGAAAATGATTAGCACGCTTTTGTTGAAACCATTTAAACAGCATATTATCGACTTGGGTATGCATTTTTGTCTTTTGACTACTTGATTTCCAATCATTTTTAATTTTGTTACAGTTTTTCCACATATTTGACACAGTGGATTTTTTATAGCCATACGATCACATATATTTGCTTCAGATGAACCCAGCTCAAGCTCACTAATTATTGTGAACTCAGGCAGCAGCGGTGGCCGCAGTAGTAGACTCTTCGATCTCCTGATCAGTCGCCGTGCGCTGTGCGGGTTCGAGTCCCGTCCCAGGAGAAATTTTTCTCTTGGCTACGGCTGTTGTGATTGTCCGTAGGTGGTAGATGGTCTCTGACTGTCGAACGCGGCGGTACCACCCGGCGGATCTCGTAGGCGGAGCCAGAATGTGTGCATGTTGCATGCACACGTGTTCCCTCGCCAGAGTCCGTGTGGCGTTCCCCTTTCCCATGTATCCCCCTATAGCCCCACGGTACCCAATGGGTGCTTAGGCCTTAGGCCTTCGTGGTAGTTCGAGTATAAAAAAAAATATTATCGACTTGGGTATGCAGTTTTGTCTTTTGACTACTTGATTTCCAATCATTTTTAATTTTGTTACAGTTTTTCCAAATATTTGACAGTGGATTTTTTATAGCCATACGATCACATATATTTGCTTGATATGAATCCAGCTCAAGCTCACTAATTATTGTGAACTTTTCGTGTAAAGTGAATGCTCGTCTCGCACTTTTCGACATGTTTATAACTCTAATAAATACAGTTAACACTGGCGCCCAAGTTCGAATGCAAACTGCGAAGTCAAACTTTCGTAAACGATTCCATCAGCTAAATCTGCTTCGGGGAACTACCAAAATAACTCGCATATAATGCGCGAGTCTATAATATCCGAGGATTTTACATGCAATTATTTTAAATTGTGTCCATTACATACAGGTTTCCATTATAATCAAGTTCATTATAAGTGGATTCCACTGTATATATAGAGTATACTTTTTTTGGACTAAGACGTGATGAGAGAAATATGACCGAGTGCAAAAGATCGTAATTTAGCTACTTGTTTGCGCAACAACGATCACATGTACCGGTTTAGTGCGAGTGCCGCCTCTGAAGTAGCGTCGCAATATCAAAGATGGCAACACACGCAGATGAATACCTAGAAAAATTGCAAAATTCACATTCTGAATTCTGATATTCAGTAACAGTTGCGTAATAAGGCTGGTCAAGAAGCCCGCATCTTGACCAGTATGATGTTATGATTTTAACACTGCTGATCCATTAAATTTCATATACTTACTCAGCATCATTGCAGCTATGCTGACGCGGACTACCGATAGTGTCTTGGAGTCGACATAGCCGCCATGCTTGCCATATTTTCAAATAATAAATGCACTTGATCATCAGGGTCGTTTTGTGCGAACCGGATTTTTATAAATATTACCTGAATAATAGCCAGACCTATGCCAACGCCCTCGACATAAGATATGTTACTGTTGATGTAGTCTCCAAACACCTCCAAACATCCCTCTTTGTATGCATTGTACAATTTGCAATCGAAATGATCGCTCTGACCTGATGGAATAGGGCAGCATGAAATGGGCAACTGATGGTTGGTGCTGTTGGTAGAGCTGATCCAATCGGTGGCATTGACAACTCCGCAGCAGTGTAACTGGAAAAAAAAGAGTCATGCTGTAGACTGATTTAATATTTCCCATGTGTTAAGTAAACCCTATCCACTAGATGCGCGATGACAACGCCACTTAGCGGATGTCGGGCAGAAGGATTTTCCTTGACACGAACAATATAAAAATAAACGGATGTCGACGAAAATATCAGATATTTAGTCGATTTGAGGTTAGAAACAACCTGAATTTCAAGTTGACAAATGATGATAGCGAAATATTTGCATCATTGCCAGGCCTCAGTTGACTCCACATAACACAAACGACTATGTTTCCATTTTTGTTCACCGAGTGCGCGGCGATCGATTTTAGTTCCCCCACTATGAACCTCGCTCTTGGCGAATACTTATAGTACATATAATGCACACGAATGATGCATACACCATATATGTGATTAAAAAAAGTGCCAGTATTTCTAGATGGGATAGTGCACCAAAAAATAGCATAAGCTCCCCTGTAAATATGTATGTGATGTTAAACATTTGTACGCCACTGATGATACTATAAGGTCAATATACGAGTATTTCTTAAATGCGTGTATTCACACCCATTTTTCTCCAAAAATCGTCAAGAGAAATAAGCTGTGTAAAATATAATACCTTGTTTAAAAATGCAATCAAAGTTTCGGAAAAGTCAGTGACGCAAAGATATTATCCTTTTTGTGGGAGTTAAAATGTCCTGATTTCTACGCCACTGCCGTAGTTGGAGCCGCAAAAATTTTTGTTTGTATTGCTTATGCTGTCAGCACCGTATGGATAAATTATTTTGTTCATAGTTTTGATATCTCCAACACACTGTATCCCGGTAAAGAATTTTAGAACCTTTTCGTGTTATTTTTGGCCTTACTTTCTGCTCTGAGATGGCAATTGGTTTTTCAATCGCCCACTGAATATCAACGCAATGACATTGCATTTATCACGCATTAGCCTCCAACTGGCATGTCAAACATATGTATCTGCACTGTCCGTAGCGAGCTTGGTAAATCTGCTTTCGAAATACATTATATACAAATTCTAAATCTCTAATGAACTTTTTTGAAGCTGCCGAAAGTGGGTGGTGAGTTCGATTTCCTTCTACCTCGAAAATGTTTGCGCCTTTAACTTCTTAAGTCCGGGAGTGATGAAAATTTGAAAAAACGAATTCTGATATTTTTAGTTTTTTTCACTCATAAGATTTTTTTCACTCATAACCCTATAGCATTTTTTTTTGTACACGAGGCACACAGGGCAGTGTCACTCTAGTCTCATTTAGGTTTTTTAATTAAAGCTGCTTTCTAATATCAGAATAAAGTTTACCCCCTTCCCCAACTAACGGAAGTACAGTTTGTATCAAAATCAAGTTCCGCCGCTCATGGTCAAACACAGACAACTACGATCAAGGTCAAAACAGTAGCATCCAAGTGATTATGCATTCCTCGAAGCTTTTATGATAATAACTGTCAACAATATAGTTCAGTCAACACTGGTACCTAAAATTAGGATAAGCTATTTTCAAAATAATAGAGACTAGAAAATACTACTATGACCAACATATTTTCACTAATAATTGGCACTGGTAAACATCAAATTATGATTCAACTTCTAAAAAATAGGTAGCTGCATTCAAAAAGGACCGAAATACCTTTGAGCAAAGAAGTTCACGGATTTCTTTTTTTTTGTCGTTTTTTGCTTATACAAATAACTAAGACACTAGTTCATAAATAAAAAAGCTTAGGGAAAACCCATAACCAAAGAGATAGACTAACTTAATAGAGTGGCATGTCTTCTAGTAAAGTACATATCACAAAACATAACAAATGTAGTGAATTCTAAAATGTTCGTGATTACAATACCTCACTGATTTATCTTGGAAAGTATAAATCAGATAAACCATAAACTGTCGTAGAAAAAAGTTTACTTACGTAAGGGCCAACCTTTAGAGTCTGATAAATGAGGTGAAAGAATTTTAAACTTTTTAATAAAATATTCAGACTGGTATCTCTTATATAAATGAAAACCTAAAACTTGTCTCGAAATGGTTAGCATCTAACAGACTCAAATTAATACAAGTAAAACGAAAGCTATGTTAATCGGAAAAACAATGTACAAATGTTCAACTGAATATTGATGGTGAAGATATTGAATTCATAGAAAACTTTAAATACCTTGGGATTTTTCTTGACTCTCGATTAATTTTTGATATTCATTATGAAAAAGTTATAAATAAGATTAGTAGTAAAGTGGGATATTTATCAAGAGTTTCTGGATGTCGGAGTTCATATAGCAGAAAAATTATCTATAATACCATCATTCTTCCAAATTCCTTGAACTGTTCGACTATTCTATATTTAGCAAATAATTCCATTTCTGAAAGACTGCAAATTTACAAAACAAGTGCATGAGAATAATACTGAATAAAGATAAATATACTCCAATTAGGCAAATGTTTAGCAAATTAAAATGGCTCAATGTAAAAAATAACATATTTTCATCAAGTACAACTAATTCAACATCATCAAATTCCGACCATCATTTACATAATGCCAGAAATTAAGATGACTTCCATTTAATGACAAAAAAGTATCACATATGCTACAAATATGTATTCCATCAAGGGTTGATTGGATATAATAAATTATATAGAGAGATAAAAGACCAGAAAACTTTGACAAAATTTAAAGTAAAATTCATTCATCATATGGCTTGAATTTACTAATTCTAAGTTGTTTACAATTATTCTGTTGATGTAGCCAAATGTGCTAAATAAATCTTTCTACTACTAATACTACTACTAATTGTTCACGCACTATCCTCGTAGTGGTAGGCTCATATTTTGCCATAGGTATATTATATTAGCCATTTTAGGAAGAAAATATACCATAGCAAATCTTGTTGAAATTGTCGCAGTCCCTCGGAATATTAATGCAACAAGTTTTCAGTGTCGTCATGACAACAGTGATAATTTGCGCATTCGACATTAATCACCGATTTAAAAAATACGGAACCAGAACGGGAGCTATTTAATAGTAATTTGAGCATTTATGTGTAAACAATGTTGGTCCACCAGGTATAGGATTCAAGTGGGTGATGTCATGTTACCCGGGGTTTCACCGTCGGCAAACGATAGCAGGACGATGGGCGGAGGGAGACGCCGAGACGGGACGTTCGCAGTTGATCTTTGTCTGCCGTATTGCACGCTTGTTTCAGTTCCGAGCTAGCAGCCGTCACGAGCATACACTCGTGCGACTGCGACCCACCCGGACTTACAGTGCGATCCTACTGTGATTTTCATCACGGCACGATCGCCATCCACGATGGCGAGAATAGAAAAGCTGGCAAGCCAGCTAAAGGAGAAAGAGGAGAACTTCGCAATGCTTGCTGAGCAGATGAAAAATCTGCAGCAAGCATTCGAACAGGCGCGGGATGAGATCGATGAGGTGAAAAGGAAGCTCCTCAAAGCAAGAGGAAAGCTAAGAAGACGGAGGAAGAAGAAGAAGAAGAGGACCACGGAGAGGAGGACCAGCAGCCTACGGAGAACTTGGACATGGATGCCCAAGATATCGACGTAGAAGAAGCGGAGAAGAGGACGGACGACACCGATTTCAGTGTCGCCACCAGACGGAGGAAGCGGGTGCGAGTTTCCTCCTCCGAAGAAGAAGAAGAACCCAGGCAGCGAAAGATGCCAGCTGCCACAAAGAAGAGTGGTCCTAGAGCAACCAGGATCACCGAGGCCCCATGGCAGGAACAGGAGTTCCGCCAATCAACATCGAGGGCACCGCTGATTGTCATCCTTGAGTAGGATGATGAACAGCAAGGGGATTCAATTCTCCAAAGCGAGGACGGCGGGTACCAGTGTGAAGGTATTCACAAATACACCAGCTGACTACCGTCAGCTAGTCGCACTGCTTGAATCCATCAAGCGGCCCTTCTTCACATATCAACTGAAGGAGGACAGGATGGACCAGAGGGTCATTCGTGGCTTCCGAGAGAGATGTCAGTCAATGACATCAAAGAGGATCTGGTGAGCCAAGGCATCGCAGACGCCGTGGTTCAGCAGCTGACCTCAAGGACCACAAAGAAGCCACTTCCGCTCTTCCTCGTCAAGACGAAGATGCCGGAAAAGCTTGCAGAGATCCAGAGGCTGGCCATGCTCACGGTCAGCTTCGAGAGGAAGAAAAAGTCTTCCGAGCCCAGCCAGTGCTACCGCTGCCAGCGGTACGGGCACACACAGCGGAACTGCCGTCTCGCTGAACGGTGCGTTAAGTGTGGAGAGGACCACAACAGCACCAGCTGCAGTCTGCCAGCGCCGCCAACAGGGCAACGAAACGCCAAGTGTTGCCTCTGTGGAGAAGGCCACCCCGCCAACTACAAGGGATGTAGTAAGGCGCCGAGAAAGCTGCTTCTGCCCCCAAAGCAGTCCCCACCACCAAATAGGACTTCTTACGCCCAAAAGTGAAGAAGCCTATGTCCACTTCTGCCCCAGCAGCCGCCACTGCTACTGGAACTACTGCGCAGAAGCAATTCGGCGATGACAGACTGCTAGCAATGATGCAAGCCATCATAACCCGCCTGGATGCACTCGAGGCCAAGATGCAAGACAAGCACTAGACCCGAAATGTCTACAGGTCAAAACGTAGAATCTCTACGCATTATCTCCTGGAACATCAACGGTTTCAGGGCACGGAAACCAGAAATCCAGGAGATACTAGACCAGTACCAACCAGAGGTGATGGCCATCCAAGAAACGAAGTTGGATGCTGCCCATAGTCCTGACGTTCCCGCGGTACGAGACGTACCGCTACGACAGAAGGGCAGAGGTGGAGGAGTCGCATTACTCGTCAACGTACCTTGACGAGTCATGTCCTCGACGATGCCGCAGACATAAATGGGGACGGAATCACGGTCCAGGTCCATCACAACCACCGTCCCTACAGAATCACCTCCCTATATGTTGCCACCAGGGGAGGCCCTAGACGAAGATGACATCGCTGACCTCCTGAGAGGCCCAGGAGCACGCATAGTCATCGGAGATCTAAACTGCAAGTCTCCGGCTTGAACAACAACGTCGAAGACAGGAATGCAAGGCAGCTCCAGGAACACGTCGATGCCCTGGCGGGGGTCATCGTCGGTCCGGAGCAACCAACCTACATTCCATTCGGCCTTGGGCGACCTGCGGTACTGGACATAGCCATCCTCCGCAACATCAGAGAGGAGTTCGAGATAGAGACCCTGGTGGAAGGATCGTCGGACCACAATCCGATTCTACTAACACTTGGTACAGGGTCTAGAACTCGAGATAGCTTGAGCACCAAACGGACGAACTGGAACCTTTACAAATCCAAACGTCCAGTGGAACATCACTCAAATTCCAACCATCCGATCAGCGGAGGAACTGGACAACGCAGTAGAGGAGCTGGAGAATGCTGTCCTGCGAGCGCACGAGGACAGCACCCGCTCCGAGACTACGGCAGTTCCTAGATACCTAAATGGTCCAGCACCGCACCATATTAGGCACCTGATCAGGGAGAACAGAAGACTCAAGCGAGAACATCTCCAGCTGTTGACAGAGGAGTCGAGAGTTGCGCGAAACAGAGCATCGTTAGCTCTGAAGAACGCACTCGCGGAACTCCAAAACAACAGATGGAATGCAGCCTGTGCAGAACTAGAGACCCAGGATGGTACGGCCTGGTCTATGCAGCGAAAATTTCGTCGTCAGCGCACCACGATCCCCACTCTTCACGGCCAACGCGGCTTGGCCTACTCAGTGAAGAAAAAGCCGAAGCATTCGCCGATTCGCTAGAATCCGAATGCAGACTCAATTACCATGAAGACGAGGACGACAACCACGAGGAGGCCGTGGAAGTCGCAGCCGAAAACATGAGGAGTCGACCACCTGGCCAGGAGACGGATCACCCCTCCAGTCCAGAGGAATCCGTCTGATCATCCGCAGGTTGAAGGTCAGAAAGGCGCCGGGAAGGGACGGCATCAAACAATAGGATGCTGAAGAACCTTCCCACAAAGGCATTGCTGCGCTCACCAACATCGCCAATGCCACTCTGAGACTTAACCACTTCCAGCGGCGGTGGCGGGAAGCCCAGGTTATAATGCTCACCAAGCCAGGCAAGGACCGGAAGTTGCCCCAGAACTACCGGCCCATCAGCCTGGTTTCCTCGGTGGGCAAGTAGTCGAAAAGGCTATCGCCGTTCGACTAGAGAAGCAGGCAGAAGAACTGCAACTTCTCCCCCCAGAGCAATTCGGCTTCAGATCCTCCCACAACACGGAACTCCAAGCGCTTACGACTGACGGAAAACATCACCAGCGGCTTCAATCTCCAGGAGGCAACCGGTCTCGTCCTGCTGGACGTGGAAACGAGCCTTCGACCGAGTTTGGCACGATGGACTCATCGCCAAAATGGAAGCCGCCGGAATCGATGCGAACATGTGCCAACTGATCCAGAGCTATCTAACACAAAGATGGTTCACGGTGAAGATTGGTACATGCCATTCAACAAGACGTCAGCTGGAAGCAGGCGTGCCCCAGGGGTCAGCCTTAGCCCCCCTGCTCTACAACATCTATACTTACGATGTGCCGAAGACAGCTGACACAATGCTGGCCCTATATGCAGACGACACTGCTATAGCCGCCAAGCATAGACGACCCGAGATCATCCGTAGGAGACTACAGGGTGAACTGGACCAAATTCAGGACTGGTGCGTGAAATGGAAAATCCGCATCAACGTCCGAAGACCAGGCAATCTTCATTCAACGAAGAAGGATTGCAAGACCTCTCGAAGCATCCATCTTCGATGGAATATCCAGTGGAGCGACAATGTCAAATCTGGGGATCGTTTTGACAAGTCCCTCACCTGGAAAGCGCACATAGAAGCTGTCATCGCAAAACCCAGAGCAGCCATGGCTCAACTCTATCCATTACTGGGTAGACACAGCCAGATGCCGCTAGCGACCAAGCTACGGCTGATCAAGGCCATCGCCAGACCTCAGCTCGCTTACGCCTCCGCGGTCTGGGGTACGCTGCCCCCAGCTACCGCAAGCGACTTGCTCTCTAGAGATGAAGCTACTCCGGATCGCCACCAATGCAACCTTCCTACGTAAGGAACTCAACCTTGCGTAGAGACCTGCATTGGGATACCATCCACGAGTACATGAGGAAAAAAGCGGAGAAGAAGACCTTCGAGAAAGCTCAGGACCACCCGAACGAGCAGCTACGATTCCTCATGGACTACGATCCGGACGAGAGGCCTCGCAACCGCAGAACCAGGTACCCAGACCAAGGTCCCAGTTGGCACCCGCTAACTGGAACCTTGACTAGGAGACTAGGAGAATTTGCGGCTGCTCCCCCCCCCCACGCGTGGATGCAGAGGACCAGGAACCACCGGGACCAGGACCCACCGGGACCAGGACCAACCAGGACCCGCCACGACCAGGACCCACCAGGACCAGGACCCTTCAGGACCAGGACCAGGAACAACATATTGGTAAGATACTTGAAACTCTTGATTTTCGAAAACAGAGTTTCAAGAGAAACTAGCAGACCCTCTATCGATGATCGCTTAACGACATCGATAGAATGTGCGAGGTAAAGGGAACCAAACCCGGCGTTCCCAGAGACTGAAACACATGAGGAGACGTTGTAGCAGACCGCAGGTCACGCACAACACATGGCCTACCGAGACGCTGATGAGTCGGGCCACGAGGGAGTTTAGGGTTTAGTGGTATTAGGTGATCTCTTCAAGACCCTGGAGCCCCACACACGTCGTAGCTCGTGCTATGGTATGGTGCGTAAATGCATTCCCCCCCTCGTTAAAAAAAAAAAAAAAAAAAAAAAAAACATTGCCATTCTATTCTATAATTCGGTCAACGACAGCAGATTGTAGTCGTCGA